GAAGGTCGAACAAATAACTTCACACACAGAGTATGGTATGGTGAATAATGGAATCTTTATATTTTCATTTCTTCGCATTTTCTTATTTTCATTTGGAATTGATTTTGGCATTCTGCGACATAAGTACTCTCCAAGCAGAGGTTTGGGTTTTGGGGGTATTTTTAGCGTCCAAACCTATTTTTTTGAGACGGACGAAAATTAATGCGCGCGGATGTCATCCATATAATCAAATCAACATGGCTTTACGACATCTATTTGCTCATTTCGCAGATACTTTGTACGATTTACAGCATGGTCGAAAACTTTTTTTGAAACGGACGAAAATTCATGCGCACGCGGATGTCATCCATATAATCATATCAACATGGCCTTGTAGCGCGCCGCGACAGGCGTGTTCCCGCCTTTTTCTGGTCATTATTTCCTCGCTGAAGGATCAGCGGAACAGACAAATGAATCTGCTGTAATCTCAACAGTCTGACGGGGATTACGGGTACCGATGATAGAACGATTACAAAAAATACAAGCAGATGCAAGGGGTACCCTTCAAGCAGGGTATTAGGCTTCGGCTTATTTTGACGTGTTTTACTAGTTTTTATTCGAACTCTTTTTTTTTTACATATATTTGAGCCCCAAACCATTCTGGATGTCGGTCCTCACAAATGCCATTGACGTAAATCGCTTCCGACGACGTGAAAAAGAAGCCTTTTTTCATTTTTGAAAAAACGATTTCATTATAAGTGAATAGAAATTTGTATCTGTATCTGTATAGCAGGTATAACCGCCCTTCGGCGTAACACACTAGCTTCGCAGGCACGCGGCGTGGCGGCAGCTGGCTACATTACACCGAAAGACTTGTTACACGAAAAAACACTCTTGAAAATCTAACTTTAAACATTGTTTAAAGCTATCTAACGATAATGCCACTACTGACATGTTGACAGCCCAACGTTTACACTGTGACGTAAGGGTGTCTTGTTTTGTTGGCCCGCACGCGTGGACGTGTGTGTATCAGACAGTTTGATCGGCTGAGTTGGGCAGACTCGGACACTCGACTCGGAGCGCCAGCGTGTCGGGTAGAAGCAGAGGGTGACCCGGCCATACTATCCAGTCAACACGTAGAACAGAATACTGTCAAACAATTCTCATTTCAAAATTTAACAGTTTACAACTGACTAAGCTATGGGGGAAAGTGAATGAGTTTGTGAGTGAGTGAGTGAGTGAGTGAGTGAGTGAGTGAGTGAGTGAGAGAGTGAGTGAGTGAGTGCGTAAAAAGAAATTGAAGAATTCAGACTTTTTTTAAGTATTTTGGCTGCCTTAGGAGTGTTTTACCAGTCACAGTGCAACTAAACACAGGCCTTTCTTTCCAATTGTCTATCTAGCTTTTCCAATCGGCCTTTTTTTTAATGTCTACCGTCCTGTAGCCTTCCCATTCATTGAATAGCCTGAGTGCCATCCTCCGTAGTTTCCGCCCGCTCCCTAATGTCGCTGCGCCCAGGCTACTCAATGACAACAGACCCCGTAAAACTCCCCGGTGAGCTTTAAAGCACCTAGGCGGGCAGGCAGCACTCCTAGTGCCGTACATATTCCTAGGAGCTCCCGATGGTACGGCTACCAGGCTGGAGAAGTTAATCATAATATTGTAACTCTATTACTACCGTGGCTGGCGGACAGGTATGCGTTTGTAACGCCTACCACGCCGTAATGAAGTGTGTCGTTTTCACGCCGCACCTGTTTGTGTCGGCACGGGTTCTTTGATCATAGTCTGGGGTAGGCGGGGCCTGCCTGGTACTGATTTGATACGTGAAACCTACATGATACCGGCTTCCAGACAATTACCGGCCCCGAATGTTTGCGTGTGTTTTTTTAAACGCCGTATGATTGCGAGGCTTATACGTCAGTGAGGCAAGGAGAGTGCTAGACGTTTTTTGCGACATCAAAAAGACGTTTTGTTAGTATACGCAAGGTGATCGATCGCGAGCTAAGAAAATAACGGTATGTTGTATGTTTACTTTTATTTTCTTTATTTAATGTGAACTTCTTAAAACGGATTGATTTAAAAGTCAATATATACATTGTTCCAGTAGTACTTCTCTTTACCTACAGCTGTGTGTGCGAGTGTACGTATATGCGCGTGTACCTATGTTTGTGCGTGCGTGCGTGCGTATATGTACGAGTGTATACGTATACGTGTCAACGTGTGTATGTGTCTGTGTGTACATGTATGCGTGTATGTACGTTTTTGCGTGTATGTTTCTCTCTCTCTCTCTCTCTCTCTCTGTGTGTGTGTGTGTGTGTGTGTGTGTGTGTGTGTGTGTGTGCGCGCGCGCGCGCCCGTGTATTTATGTGTGTGTACGTATGGCAATGTGTACATGCGTTAGTATATATTCTTTATGCCCACCACTGGCCAACATTTTGGGATATGTCTGAACTCTGAAGTAAATGCTATGCACTATTACATTGATGATAAAGCATATATAAGGAATGACTTCTTAACTTGGTGCATAACACGTGATATAGTGTCATGCGCTCTTCCTTGTATCTGTCTGCATTATTTCATTGTTTAACGCGAATGTTATAATTGCAATCCACATTATACATTGATATAAAGTTAACTGTTGGACAGTCCATTTTACATGGTTCATTGAGTCGAATTCCCAATTTCACAAGTCGTTGCGCCATTTTAGTCCGACCTCTGATTATTCATGTCCCTCCAACGGCCCAGACAATCTCCACGTGCGGCCTGTGGCTCACATGTGCCGAGAAAAACACGTTCTTTCGTCATACCAGACTAGATATCTTATCTGTTGTATCTAAGTAAACCTTTATTGTATATAACAATGCTTCTCCATATACACAACCATGTGCGTTTGACAATCAGTAGCCTTTACCAGGCTTCTGCAAGCGGCTGGAAAGAATAGAAAGTGGCCAACTAGACAGATATTACTAACCTTGCCAAGGGAGTGGCAAACTGTACTCTTTAGCGGACTAACTCCACTGACATGTTGTCTATTTGGCCAATTTCTACTCTTTCCAGCTGCTTCCCGAAGCCTGATAGAGGCTGTTATAGTACAAGCAATATGACGAAGATTATCTTTTTAATATTCATTCATTCATTCATTCATTCATTCGTTCAATCCGCAGTGAGAGAAACTTGGACCACAACACCATGAGAGTGAAGAAGGAACCGAAGTCGTCCGACTGCCTTCGGGCATGTTCGGTGGCCGCCGCCGACGTGCCGAACTCAGACGAAGCTGCCACGTCACAGGACACGACGGGAGAACAACACGGCATAGTGTACATGCCGGAACAAGGTAAAATACTAGGCAATCATTTGCAGTAAGCATGGAGTTAAATATGTTTCTACCTCCATGGTAGTAAGTAAAAGGTGCAAGCAAAAGTTTTGTAAGCCTAACCTGTCTATAGCGACTTCCCAATGGATTTAGACCAAATGGTCGCTATAGAGAGGTGACCACTGTTATAACATTTCAGTTGCTTTGGTCAATAGAGAAAATAATCCCAGGGACCACCAATATATGGCCACAATGTCCAGGTTCCTAATAGTATGTACATGTGGTCACTAGTACAGACACTGTAACAGTAATGTACGAAAAATACGATAAGGTCCCTGGTTTAACATTAACAATATGTTTGTCTCTCTTGTACATCCATACAGAGTTTCTACCCAAGCCCATGCCACCACCATCCTCTAACGCATGGCGGGTTTTCCGCCCTTGGCAACAAGAAGCCCATAGCAACGGCCAACACCCTCCTTACTTCCCAGACGACTATGACGTCATCGCCAACCAAAATGGCGGCGGCGCCGAATTCGAATCCAAGGTCAGAACGTCCCCAAGGGCGTCGTGGGGAAACCGCGAGGACAACGAAGGTGGAAGCCAGGAGAAGCCCATGGACTTGACAACGCTGAACAGACAGCTCTCCATGTCCATGTTCAAGCAAGAGGTCGAAAAATCACCCCGCGCAAAGGAAAGACAGAGTAGAGCCCTGTCAGGCACTTTGCAGTTGCTGGAAGACGAAGGAGAAAGCGGGGTGTTCAAACAGCCCACCGCGTTTGGACTAGATCCGGACAGTTATGAGGCGTTTGCCAACTCCCCGCTCGTGCAAGGCAACGAACACTCTTGGAAGACGTCTTCTAGCGTACGCGTGCGCACGCCGGTGCCTTACAAGCCGTCTTTTTCTTACAACTTGTTGTCCCAGACGTACCTACCCTCCTCCTCCTCGTCCTACCACCGCTCGGGTCATCATCACCTCTCAACCGGATACAGCTCGCGAACGGAAGTACGCGGCCCGACTTCCGTTATCCACCATCACGGCGACTACGTGCAAGGAAGTTTGAATTTCCCGCCAAACGCAACGGCCGAGAGTGTCCCAACCAGCGCTCGCAGTGGGCACAGGGAGTCGTCCTCTATGAGACAGTATGACCGGTGTAGCTGCACGTCCCTTCGCTCTGGCTCGCAGTACGATCGCGGGGCGTCCGGCGCTCCTGCTTCGGCCAGTGTCAACAGCATTGCCGCCCGCTTGCACGCGCTGCGCCGCCGCCAGTGCCAGTCCTACCGGGAGAAGTACAACTACATCTTCGGGATGCGGGACGACCTGGTGCCGAGGAGAAGCGCGTCCAGGTCCGCTCGAAAGTTCGGACTTTTCGTGGACTCCGCCAAACCAAAGACGGGAGATCTGGACGCCCAGCACTGCTTGTGGAAGGCTCAACAGATCGCAAGGCAGATTTGTGCTCAAACGGGCCTGAAAACTGGACATAACTGAACCAAATCTAAGCTCCTTGATCTATGTAAAGCCACCGGTCATATGTTTCTTATACGTGTACATAAAAAGTGTCAATGATGTTTAATATAAGAATCTATTTCTGCTTCCTCGATAGGAACTTTCATCAGGAAGTGTTGTTAACAATGAAAATAGCGTATAACCAACCATGTTTGCTTCAGATCAAATATTTTATTTCTACTACACTGAACAACCTTCAGTCAAGGCGTTATCTTTTGTCATGCATGTGAAAAAATATTATACACTAAATGTTATGATCAAAGGCAGACTAGAAAATGCTGGTCATTATTTATTAACAATAATCGTTTGCTTTGTGCATAATAGTATTATTGTGACAAATGTATATCAACTTTAGTCGGCAGATGGCGCTAAACATGTATTATATTTCGTCGAAACCATACTAATCTTACATTATTTCGCGTAGAGTGAACTTTTTTGTTTCAATATTATTATGTTGCTAACATTATACAGCGGAATAACCTTCAAAATCTTTAGTATACTAGTATATAAAGTTCAACATTTTACTATATTAGTTTATAATGTAAAAGCCAACAAAACATAAGAAGTGTACAGGTGTTTATTTGTACAGGTGTTTACTCTACTCCAGACAATTTTGACATTGTGTTAAAATCAATGATTATGCATTGGAATGACGTAACCTTCTACGTGTATGATACAATGTATAGAATGGTGTAGTGTGATAAAGTAAAAATGTATTTCTTATAACCACGTTGTAACATACACTAATTGTTTAAACATGTTCTTGTCAAATATACTAGTAATGTTTGATGGAGACGAAATAAAATAAAATAAATCACAAAGTGAGTGTGTTTCACTTTCATTTATTACAAACTTTACAAAGCTATTTTGAAAGTGATGTGTTGATAAATAAGAAGGAAATATTTCATAACAAATTTTAGGTGAAAGTTGATCATAACTTGTTTTGTTGTGAAGGTGAAATAAAGTATTTAAAAGCTGACAATTTGTTTTGTTTCTGTATCTAGTACTGACATTACATTAAAAAGCACGTGGTCGTAACATCAATGCCCTACGCGTATAGCATGCAATTAATACCATACCATTACTCATTGCAATAACAGATAAAACACAATTGCAATTGATTGTCTGTGTTATTACTGTAACAGTTGCGTAGTAGACCTCCTACATAGACAACCGTTGATTTTCCCAAAGTATTTTTTACTGACTTTTTGTTCATACATTATATTATGCAATAGTCAATCTATAACTTTTAGCTACGACACAAGATGTAGCAAACACATATTTATAACAGTTATGTAATTCTATAGATGTAGGCAGGGTTATGATATCTAAACAATTAAAATGAAAAAGAATTACGTTTTATGGCTCTCTGTTATTTTTTTTATTTCTTTCTTCGTCAATTTAGACGCTTCTAAAGATGTGACATTCAAATTTGCCAGGACCACCCTCTGATCAGTATAATTGCGATGTGGTTATGTTGGAAGGCATATTTAATAATAATACATTGCTTAGTAATGATACGTTAGGCAAAGCTGAATACGTCATGCGAAGAGAATGAAGTTCTTCTGACATCATCATCGAGTAAACATGCGTCATTGTGCTTCCGAAATGAGAGGGTACAGAGAATTATACTCCATTGTGCACATTGTATTTTGATCTCGGTCTCTGTGTGTCTCTCTGTCTCAGTTTGAAGAGGCATGGTATCGACGATCGTGATATCTATTAAGGTGTGCGTTAAAGTATGTCTGTGTGTGTGTGTGTGTGTGTGTGTGTGTGTGTGTGTGTGTGTGTGTGAGCTAGAGAGAGAGAGAAACTGCATATTTATTCTAAATACTGTACACTGTAACGTGTTTTTATAATTACATCAGGGCAACTTTGTATGTCATTGTATTCATACGGCATATCACAAAAAGGTCATATCATATCTTCAGTGTCAACAACAGTAAACTATGATAGAATCATAACTATCAACTTACAGACATTAGAAAATAGTGTTTTTCTTGTATCGTAAAAAACTGTTGACTGAAGGCTACCATGTCAGGGCAACGAGTTATCCAAAGCCTTTTCTAAATCCTCATTTCATTTTTCTATCGTAAAACTTGATCCTCCTAATCTGGCCTGTTTAAACGATTCATTAGCCGACGCCGCTCAGAGACGAGCCCCCGACATCTCGACATATGACCGCTTATGGGGGATTAAAGTCCAGACGACTGAATGCAAAATCATTGATGATGGCCGACAGTTGCCGCCATTTTGTTCTTCGTTTGGCTGGCCCCAGAGGACGACGGGATACTGTCTGGCACCACTGTGATGCCGCGTCGATGTCTTTGTAAACTAGAGGACGTTTTCTTTTGTCCAAAGCCATATTGAACATTATCATGCCCATGTGTAATATATATATATGTGTTTTGCTTACTATTGATGGTACTGTAACAAAGGCAGCCAATGTGATTTCAGAGCAGCAAAACTGGAAATATTCTGAATAAGGCAATCTTTATGATATCTGGCACATACTGCTTCATGTAGCAATATTTCATACTTTGGGTATTTAAATCTGCAGAAACAAGCCCCAAGATGAGTCCTTTATTTTATGGTGTGGTACCGTAAAAATGAGCCAAGGGGCCTTCCAGTAACCATTTTTCGTCAGAATTTTGGGTCATTTTGGGTCAATATACATTGGGACAGTGTATGATTAGAATATGGGACTAGAATATTGACTTTAAAAAAGCCTTCAAGGAAAGAATGTCTAATTTAGCTAGATCTAGAAGAAGAATTAGACCTTAACACACAAGCTACATCATTTGAAAGCTTTATCGTTATACTCCGAAACGTGTCACTTATTTCGCTTTATATCTTTGGGGAGGTCGGCCACTTTTTCATCCACTAATGTACAAGGGGGCACTGGCAATCGCAAGAGGTGGTGAGCCAGTTTAGCAATGGCAGTGGCCTTGAATCTAATTCTCCCTCAGGAATAACCTTTGAGAAAAAACACTATATTAGATCAGACAAGGAAACTCCAAGGAGACCAGACGATCATTGGAAAATGTTCATTCCCAAAGGCCTACTTGACCTTATTTGGGAATGTCAAGTGTTTCCTGAACATGGATTCCTGGAAGTGGTTGGTGTCGGGTGTTATGTTACATTCCAGAAGGTTCTCAGGTGAATTGCCGGAACGACATATGGAGTTCTCAGAAAATTATTAAAAATTTATTATGAATTTCCTGGAATTTATGGCAGAATTAGCTATTTGGAATGGCTTTTTTCAGCAACATTGTCATTTTGATGTACTGGACTGTGTCCAATGACTATAAAACGCTAAAGTTGGCAACCGAAAAAAGTAAGTTGCAGGTAAACGTAAAATGAAATCACACCCACCTGTAGTCAACCTACTGTGGATAGATACGTAAACCACACCGCTCAGCCACTCAAAACAATACTTCTGTACCTGGAAGTAATCACAAGAAATACATAATAATGTTACATATTAACAAAAATGGGAGGATGTAGCTAACGCAAGATTTAGTGCAAATTGCTATTTGCACTAAATTGCTATTGCTGGAAAGCTCTAAACATGCCGAAGTTTCTTAAGGTTCAAAGTCATTCAGAGTACCTTTTGTACGTTGTAATACGCACTGTAACAATATTAATTTCATTTCAAAAGCGTTACTGTACACTTTGTAATAGTATGAAATTATCTTAATAATAATAACACTAGGAACAAGGGGAAAGAGGGTCCAATTAAAGTTAGAAAACACTCCGCACTTTTCAAACGAACGTTGCCGGGAAACAGTGACGACACCAGACAATAACCAGTTCCGAAGTTCCGCCTTCCGGAACCTATCATTAACTCCTTATATGTACATGCACTTAGTTTTACCGGAAATCAGCATCACTGCTATATAAGGTCAATGACAAGGACTGTGAAGGAAGAACAGGAACTTGGATACAGAGGAAGACTTTTGATTTGTGAATTCTTGAGAAGATATAGAAGAGACAATGAAGACGGCAACCATCATCTTCGCATTGATACTTGCTGTGATGTTAGTACTTGCCGGTAAGTCACTTACTTTTGCCTCCACCAGCCTCCCTAGTACTGGGGAAATAGTAGGTAAAGGCAGTCCTATAGCCTTTTTTCTGGCCGCAGGGCCCTTCCAGTAACCATTTTCCGTCAGAATTTTGGGAATCTTTGCTCCATTAAGGGGGAAATATACGTTGGGATAGTGTGCTTTCAACTCAGTATGTAGATAAATGACTAGAATATTGGCTTTGAAAAATCGGGTTTCCAAGGCCTAAAAACTGCACTGGATGTCTTTAAGGCCTGTATCACTGTAATTGTAACAAGTGCTTTATCAGTACTATGGCCTGTACTTTGCTTGTAGTGCTGAACATAAACGTATAATAAATTTCTGTCATTCGAATATATTCCTTATAATTTTTTTAAAAAATCATTTTACCTTTGTAGACAGTCGGCCTACGACAGTGTTGGAAACCGGTGCAGTTTACCACCGCCGTAGATTCGCAGACGAGCGGCCGGGTAGGAAGGCGAGGGGACAGGCCCGGCGTGTTCCAGATTTACCCCGAACTTGCATATTTGGGCTTCGGTAAGTGTTGGGCAAAATTGGTCGTAAGATACTCGTAAGATGGCAAGATGTTGATATGCTTGCGATCCTAAGTTGTGCGTGCCATGTCATGCAAAATTTAACTGTGTGTGGACTCTCCTAACGTTATAGGGGTAAAAAAATCACTGTCAAATCGTTCATACAAAAAAAGGTGTCTACTGTATATTTGTGTATTGACAACTTTAATTTCCAATTTCCCCCAGGTTTACTGGGAAATCGTTCAAACCTTGCAGGTTGCTGTTAACTCACGGACGGTAGGGAACCTGTGCACAAATTCTGATGACGCCACGATTCCGACGACTACAACAAACTCTACATCAGGAACCTTTGGGACACCTACAGTCAGGTCATAGGAACTACTTCAGCATTATACAGAAAGAACTGTACCAACCGCTCTCTTATTAATTAAATCACTATAGTTGCCAAGCTAGCTTTCATTGGTTGAATTGGGCCAGAACCTACGTTTTTCTATTGCTAAATACCAATTGCTATCATTGGTTGAAATTGTGATGGACAGGCAGGTTTGGGGCTATTGTCAATACACAGCATGTATAGTGATATGTTACCGTAGAAAATTTCCTGAAAATACAATCCACTACTAAGTAGTGAAAGAATCATACCTTCACTTGCTGTCATTCTTCATGGTGCAAATGTATTGAATGTCAGAAAATATTTGAATAACCAGATGTACAATAAACAAGATACAAAGTTATGAAAACGTGAAAAGCTTTTATTATAGACAATCACAACAACTTGTGCATCATTCCAACCATCCTACAAGAGATATTTCACACCAATTAATTTCAACTTTACATAGATATCAAAAGTAAAGCCCAGATACATGTATACAGAATTCTTTGTAAGGCACAGAGTATTTTCTTTGAAGAATTCTTATAAAATTAATACAGAGTGCATCATACCAAGAAAATAGAAAGAGGAAGACTAAGGTGAATTGTTAAGACAGTATATATACAACTCCACTGTTTTTTCTCCGAATTTGACATAGACAAATATGTTTTAATATTCTACATTAAAAATACTTACAAAAGTTGCAGAGGCTGTTTTTTTTCATAAGGCCACATATGGTTGATTATTATTTTTTTTGGAAGGCTTAACTTTTCACATGTCTAGAATAGAAGTCTACACTGTACACCCAGGAATTCCTACAGTTGTTGCCAAAACCTTGTCAAGTCACTTCTAATTTCTTTGTAACAATTTCAATAAAAGATGTTAATTTGAGTAGAAAGTTTGTTAATTTATAGTTTTCTGCTCCTGCTGGTCCCAGGTTGATTGAAGGTGTCAGAAAATCTTCTACTTCTTTGGAGCGATGATTCCCTCCAATTGGGTCTGTAAAATTGAGAAAAAACAAGTTACATCATGTGATGTTACAGAAATAATGAAATTATAGACCTCGTTCACCTACATGTAGGCTACCAAATTATATGTAGAACAGGAGTATCTCAAGATAAATACTAATCTTAATCCAAATCCATACTTTAATTACTCTTAGTCTTAATCTTTTGCTTAATCCAATGCTAATTGCATGTAACAAAATTAAGCTTTGCACACCTTCTAACCCACATGTATCAATACAATAACCTAATCTTAATCCCAATCCTAAATTCAATCTCAAACTTAATCTTGATGGGTGATTATCCAGTCTCACCTTAAGCTACTGAGTGTTTTAATCTTAAACCTAGATATTCTAATCTTAATACTAGAGTATCCTAATCTTAATCTGTACAGATACAGAATCCCAATCCAAATTTTAATCTCAAACTTAATCTTGATGGGGGATTATCCCGTCTCACCTTAAGCTGCTGGTTTGTCCTCTTAAGGAACTGGATCTCCTCCGAGTGTTTCTTCTCCTCCACCTGCCGACGCTCCGCCTCTCTCTTCTCTATGGCCTCACACTTGGCCTTGAGTTCGTTGACCTGGCGTTCAAGGTCACGCTTGTCGGTCTCAAGTTCCGAGATCTGTTGGAGAAGATTGATGGGTAAAATTATCAGCAATATTCAATTTTTTAAAAAAAGTCTTACCAGACGGGTATAGATTTTAGGGACAGTCCTCAACACTTAGTCATGCTCAACTGTTTTTTCCAGTTCTTTCAGTCATGTGATTAGTATTGACTACATGTAGTTCTCTCAGTCTAGTTTAGTAAAATTGAGTGATGGATGTCAATCAAAATATCTGGAAGTTTAGGATTTTCGGTATATGGACTGGAGATTCTGCCAGAGCTGGCTTGTGTTTAGAAGTATGTTGGGGCATGGTTGTCAGTGACACTTGACTCAAATTTAACTCAAATATGACTTGATTCATCCAGAAAGGTAGACATGGCCTTGACTGGACACCTACGGCACCAATACCTCATCAGACTTTTACCAAAGTTCAGCCAAATTTGGTCGGCTGGTGTTTGTGGGAAGGTTCTGAATGTGTGACAGTCTTAGCAGGGCTCGAAATACTGGGTGCATGTGCACCTTAGTGTAGGTATTTTTGTAATAGTATACAGGATATACTTGGCATCAAAGGGTCAGAAAAATAATAAAATCTTTGTTGCAGTACTTGTAAGATTTTGAAGTTAGCTCACATTTCAGATTCAAGAGGAGAGGAGCGGTAAGATCTATAATTAGGTTTTGTTTTATATGGTGCACCCAAAAATTTTTTTGTGCACCTAACTTTTAGGTTGGGTCCACCAGTAGCAGTGCATTTTTGGGAATAGGTGCACTGGAATTGAATTTTGAGCCTGCTGAGACTTTACAAATCAGACTCACTCTCTTCTCCATGTCGGCCTTCCCCTGTTCGGCCTGGAGAGCCTTCCTCATGCCGAACGCCACGCTGCTCTCGTACAGGGTCTGGTACGCCGCGATGGTCATACGGATCTCATCCCGCACACGCAGCAGCAACAGGCCGCGCTCAGCACAGTTGATCGTCACCTGACGAATCAGCTCATCTGTGGGGAGATAACAATTTATATTAGATCTCCCTAAGAACTGCCAATAGGACAGGGACAGGTTCCTAAAGCATGGTAGGGCAATGATTGACCTTACTGAAGCATGGTAGGGCTATGGTTAACCTTCCTACATGTAAGACACGATTGGAAAATGGTTAACCTTACCGAAGCACTGGTAGTAGTACAATGGTTAACCTTACTGAAGCACTGTGACTGTGAGTAGGACAATAGTTAACCTTACCAAAGCATGGTATGGCAATGGTTAACCTTACCAAACACTGGTAGTATGAAACTTTAAAAAAGCACTGGTAGTAATAAAATGGTTAACCTTAAACAAAATCACTGTGAGTAGGACAAGAGTTAACCTTCTTGAAGCACAACTACTTACGACAAACGCGATAATGGTACTTTTTTATTGGTAGGACAATGGTTAACCTTACTAAAACTCAGTTGCACAATGGTTAACCTTCCCAAAGCACTGGTAGTGGTACAATGGTTAGTAGTAGAATAAGGACAATAGTTAACCTTACCGAAGCACTGTGAGTAGAGCTCCCTGCGTACGGGACAGATGCCGGTCTCGCGCGCCTGGCGCTGCTGCAGCCGCAGGTCCAGCTGCTCCTGCAGGTTGACCACGTCCAGCCGCGTGGCCGGAGTACTGGACACCTGCTGCACCCACAGCTGACCGCCCTCCTGCCATTCCCTTGGGGTCAAGAGAAAACAAAAAACTGTCATTTTTATTGTCAAATGAGAGTGAAACTGGTGTGTTATGCCAAAGGGTGGTTATACAGATACATACAGAAATGTGAGCATTAAGTGCAGTGAATCGGGCAACCCTATTGGTTCGGTGTTTGAGATATAGATATTTTTTTTATATTCCAACATATAATCACAAGACATGGTGGGGACACAGTCAAGATTTTTCAACTTATATTAATGCCGCCACCAACACAGGGGACAATACAGTACTCATTTTCACCTGAGCAAAGTGAGGAAAGTCGTGTTACTAGTAAGTGCCATCCCAAGGGCACAAGATCGGTGACATGTCAGGACTTGAACCTGGGACCTCTTGGTTCCCAGTCCAGCACTCTGCTGCTATGCCACGCGACCCCAAACATTATGACATTTAAACACCATTAGTGTTATAACCAACACGAAATGGGGACTTATGATTGACAAAGCAAGGATAATATATCAAACCTCCTTGTGATTTTTCGTACAGTTGCTAAGTGTATCCAGGAAAGTACACAACATCTAACAATTATCTTAAGACAGCTTAAGAAGAGTTCAGACCTTGGTGGCAGGATGGAGTTAAGGATCTCCTCAGTCTGCTGTGTCTTGGCGTCTGCCACGGAGGAGGGGGACTTGCCCTTGGCGGGGGGGTTGGGGACGGGGCCTGTGTTGGCGGGAGGGGTGGGGCTGGCCTTCAGGTTCCTTGCCTGTGGGGTGGAGAAAAAATAGAGGATGAGAAGATATATATATATTGATTTTATGAATGTATATACAACATCTTAGAAATATACACAATGCAGGGCATATTTTTAAGGTAATTGTGTGAATTCTAAGTACTTAAAACTCATTTTTCGGGATCATCTAACTTCAAACTTCAAAGAAGCTAGAAAAATTACGGAGTATGGGAAATTATGAACCAGTGAGTTAACTTAGAGTTGTCTCAAGATCTGTTTTGTTCTGTTGAAGTTTATTTTTTTGCAAACAAATTATCAAGATATACATGTAAAAGATTACGTCTCAGAGCAAAGTACTGACCACAATTCAACCACCTGTTAACAAATTAATGTACAGAATCTTCTAATACGTGTAAATTTGGTGTAATCTTTTTGAGAGACAGAATTAAGTAGTGCAACTGTGGGAGGGGGGCAAGTCGTAAATATGGACGGGCGTTCGAAAAAGATTTTCCCGTAGCAACCAAAACTTACCCGCGGGGTTTTCTTCTCCGTGTTGCGGCTCACCAGCACGGGGTTGTCGTACTTCACGAGCGAGGCGTTCGGTGGAATCATCTTGACGAGAAAATCGGGCGGGAAAAACACGAAAACAACTGCGCAACAAGAAGAAAACTGGAAGAAATCCGAGTAGGAGAAACTTCGAGGTGGGTGTTTTCTGTTGCCAATGGCAACTTGTTACTGCGCATGCGCTGGTATGAAGGTCTCGCGAACTCTCGCGTTGATCGACGAGACTTTGATAAATCCAAGATGGCGTCACGTCGAGCAAATTTAGAAGAACCGGCCCAATTAATTCAGCCCTTGTGCTCTTCATGGGAAGGTTTGTACTATTTCTGGTCAACTGTTTGTAGTAAAAGCATATGTAGCGTTGTTTACTAAGGGTAGCCGTTCTTTGGCCGTTATATGGTGCCTAAATATGCGTTCGAATGGCTGGTATTGGGGGAGGGGGGGCACATGGATGTGAGTAGCATGACAATTTTTCATTGTTGGAAAATGGTACTACACGTAGTAGACCGATCCTATAGCCCCGCCCACCTCCGCTAAAACTATGAAATTATCTTTTAAAACTTGGAAATACTAGATGAAAATGCAAATATTTTAAGGACATGCAACCACTCTCACATAATTATGCCATATGGATTTTGGTTGAACAATTTATCTCAAATTATTTATTGACGTGAATAGCATAAAATTATGACATTTGAAAACCCCTGCATGGTATACATAACAAATATATTGAAATTTATAGATTGTCCAGACGTTAGAAATTCCTCCAAAGATTGTAAATTCCCATTCAATCTCATTAAGTATTAAGTAGATTAGCCTTATGTACTTTAGTTACATGTAATATTACCAGTAGATGCCATACTTTGTTGTTGTGCAATAAAGTTTATTTTATATTCAGTCAGTGATGAGAAGTTAGAATAACGATTAATAACTCTCCATGTATTATTCCCCAGATGCGCGAGACTTGTTACGAGAGTGGCGAGAGGAGAACCTGAGGAACAGTGAACAGGTGGTGGAGGTGGGAGACTTCCTCATGCAGAGGGGGCTGGCAGGGAAACTGGGCGACGAAGGTAAACAGGTCAATTTCTCATTGTAGTCAGGTTGTTACTGTTTGATGCAGTGGTCTTCTTCTTTCCATTAAGACCACACCAATTTAATTTGTTCACAGTTGGTTGTTGGATTTGCCTCTTCATTTTTTCCTGATTTGCGAAAAAAAAAAAAAGAAGATAAATCTGGTTCTGAAATTCTGGTTCAGAATCAACTAAAAAAAGCTAATATTTTGCCTCCAACAGTTGAGGAAAGTCCTTTTTTTTCCTAGTTGTTGCAGTTTTTCCATCTATCATTGCAGTGGTTTAATTAAAAGTTCAAAATTCATTGTTTAAATTTTAACCCAGCCTTTTGTGTTGACTTCATGGCTCCTATTGAGGCATTTGGGACTATAATAGGATGCCTAGTCCTGTTTTTTTTCGCCCTGTCACTGCATATTTTTTTCTGAAAAAATCAGAGAACCAACAAATTAAATTGGTGTGGCCTAAGGCAACCACCTTTGTCATTGTGAAGATTCTGTTGCCTGTAGGTGAGGCTGCGTACTGGGAATGGGTGAACATGTAGTCTGTAGAGTGTTGCTAGTCTGTCACATATTTTAAGTTCAGTAAGGGTAGAGGCAGAGTCAGGATTTTGGCTCTGAAACTGTCCAAGGTAGGAGAGAGGATGACCTCTGCAGGCAAACTGTTCCAATCACAGATTGTCCGTGGGAAGAAAGACTGTTGTTTGTACTCTGTCCGGCAGGAAGGAACCCTGGTGTTACTGAAGAGACTTGAAAATGGCTTTTTTTGTTTTCTTGTCCCAGTTTGGCCAGCATACGAGCAGATCTTTCTGGCAGCATTGGAATGTGGCAGACTGGAACTGGCTCAGGTTAGTTTGATTTTTCCTTTGCATGTTTTCTATTTTTCATCTGTCATTGTTATTTTAACCTTGCCTACAGTTTAGTTACTATATTCCAAATTCCAAAACTTGTTGTTGACATCCATTTTCTGCGACGCCCCCTAGGTGTGCTACAAGCAACTGCGCCGACAGTTCCCGGGGAGTTTACGGGTGGCCAAGCTGGAAGCCATGAGATACGAGTTCTTACAGAAGTCAGTATCTACTGTGTTCTTTAATCTTCCCTGAGGTGCTATCTATTCTTTATCTATTCTTAATTCCTTTTTTCTCTCTTTTTGTATGATTTATTTTGACTGTACATTTCCAGGTATGATGTAGCAGAACAGAAATACCACAAGATTTTGGAAGAGGACGAAGCAAATTCTGTGAGTTTGAATTTGTATCATCATGCCATTTTTTGTAGATATTCACATTTAAAACTGTACCAGCAAATAAATGTTGTTTTTAGATTTCTAAAAATTCTATGTAAATATTTTTCTTAGACTGAGGTTATGAAGACATTTTGTAACTGTTTTGACCAAGGAAAAGCAGCAGCTATAGTTCATAGCAATACATTATAGTAGTAACCACTTTTTCTTTGTTACATGCTTACAGGCAGTACACAAAAGGTTAATTGCCATTCACAAAGCACAAGGGAAGATTCCAGAAGCTATCAAAGAACTCAACAAGTATCTAGAGAGGTAAGAAATCATACCATAAAAAAAAAAAAACTGTCTCTTTCTCAACAGATGTTTCTGTGTTCTTCTCTCTGTCACTGAGTTATTTATTTTATTTTAGACCAATTAGATACCATATCATATACAACTGTGATTTGATACCATATTTGATTTCTATGTATTAAAAAGACAGTACCATTAATGTACACATACTTATATTTGTATTTTCCCTGCCAGATTCATGAGTGACCATGAGGCCTGGTTGGAGTTAGCAAACCTGTACATAGCAGAACTGGAGTAAGTTTTGTCCCTGGAATATTTACTGCATAATCAAACTACAAAGTTATCATTTGCAAAGTTACAAAGTTGACATTTGCAAGTTTAAAATAACAAGTCATTCTAGGGTTTATATAGTAGAGTGGATTCATTCCTCAAGCTAACCGACATCTCGCATACACAGTCGTCCCTCAGTTAGATATCTGGAGCCTCATAGTTCCCCTTTAGAACTTTTATTCAGCCTGTCACACAATGTCATTCTAGGGTTTCTAGGGTTTAGTTTGATGCCTAACTCCTCTCCTGTGCTCTGTACCCTACAGGTATGGTAAAGCAGCATTCTGTCTGGAAGAGTTGATCATGGCCAACCCTCAGTGTCACCTGTACCATCAGAGATATGCAGAGGTCAGGAGGGAGAAGATAGTTGTTCTACTTTAAGACTGAAAAAACATCCTTAGAACTTTACACACATGTTTTTTTAAAAACTGTCCCCACTCGTAGCCCTCCCTTATCCTGCCCCCACTCGTAGCCCTCCCTGATCCTGCCCCCACTCATAAACCTTCCTGATCCTGCCCCCACTCGTAAACCTCCCTGATCCTGCCCCCACTCGTAGCCCTCCCTGATCCTGCCCCCACTCGACGCCCTCCCTGATCATTGCCCCCACTCCTAGCCCTCCCTGATCCTGCCCCCACTCGTAGCCCTCCCTGATCCTGCTCCACTCATAGCCCTCCCTGATCATTGCCCCCACTCGTAGCCCTCCCTGATCATTGCCCCCACTGGTAGCCCTCCCTGATCCTGCCCCCACTTGTAGCCCTCCCTGATCCTGCCCCTCTCATAGCCCTTAGTGAAGGTGAACATCATAAATATAACTTATTCAAATAAGGACCTTATTTGCATAATTTATGAGGAAATGATAGAATGTTTTTCTTTGATAAGATAATGCTGTCTTTTGATGGAGAATATGATCAACTAATTTATGCAAATGAGGATCCTATTTGCATAATCAGGAGAAATCATCTTTGTCAGTCATAAAGATTAACATCATTTGGCGAAGGAATGAGATCGTGGGACTCTAGTTTATTGTATTATAGGTAAGCAAACATGTACCATGTCATCTGATTTTGCTTGCAGTAATTTAAGCTTGAAATTGAACCTAATTTGTTGTGTTTTTCAATAATGTTCAGTGTTGGATCTTGTTTTTTTCTCCCAGATCCGTTACACCCAGGGTGGGACAGAAAACATGGAACTGGCCAGGAAATACTTTGCCCAGGCAGCTAAACTCAACCCCACCAGCATCAGGGCCCTGTTTGGGCTCTTCCTGGTGAGTTGTACTCTATTAAGTATAAGAACATATTTCATATTTGATATCTAATCAGAATATTTACAATTATTTATAAAAAATTTAAATATATACATTTCATAAAACTAGTAAAACCGACCAATTTTGTATGTACGTTTGTACCTGTAGATTATAGGTGGAATAAAATCAGGTGTAAATCATTTAGTTTAACCACTGGGTTTACCAAGGACACTAAGTATAATAAAATTAATACCTGAAATAATTTTGTTGCAGGCTGCGAGTCATCTGGCATCTCAACAGAAGGGAGGCGGGACCAAGAGTAGTAAGAGTGAGAACAAGAAATACGCTGCATGGGCCGCAAAACAGATCCAGGAACGATACGAGGTCAGTATAGTACAGATTTGTAACTTCTGACATTCTGTTCTTGAGAAGATACTGTGCAACACCCCTCTGTTGGGGTAAGATGCACAGGAGGAGTGCGCTGCACCTTTGTTGTTTCCTCAGGTGCAAGTATACGGCTTCCTTCAAGTTGTCAGATTCTGTGATTTCAGTTATGTCTTGAGGAAGCATGCTCCAATCTTTGACTGTTCTGTTTCTAAGGCACGGTATTGGAAGGCAGAGCCCATCCCTCTCCTCCCACTGTCTTTTACCTCCCCAACTGAAGTCAGGTACCCATTTTACACCTGGGAGGAGTTAGGAAAGTCTTATCGAGTGCCTTTCCCAAGGATGCAACATCTAGCAATTGTCATCAGGAATTGAACCCACAACCTATCGATCTTGTTTTCTTTTCTCTAGCCTAGCTTTTCTGCTATTTAATGCCACTGCTGCCTATCCAGTAACAAAATATGATGTAGTAAAAGGTACCTTAGCAGATTGAAGGTTAAATGGTGATCTAACACTTCTTCTTTCAATTTGTTGCAGGCATTGGGGCAGAGTGAAGACAGTCAACTGAAGGCCCTGACAGCAACACTGGATAGTCTGGAACTCAGCTAAACATCTCAGAGTCAGACAACTACAGTTCAAGTGAACAGTAACACTGAACACCTGCAATTCTGCCTAGTGTATTTACTAGGATTTGTCCAAAACTGTACTTTTGTCATTGAGATACATTTATAAGGAAAGTGTTCAAGAAGTGTGGACATGTATGTTACAAAGTTTTGTAACACACTAGTTCTGTATTACCTTGTCCATATTATGCCATTCTGTAATAGTTTCTGATAATTGTGGTTGACCAATGTATATTTATTTCATTTTTGTACTCATGCATGTTTGTGCATGTTCCCTCAACTTGAAAGAATGTACCACAAAATTTAAAGTGAAATTAACAAGTATCTCTTGTAAATGTAACTTTTCCCGAGCTGAATTTGTTGTAACCAGTATACATCTGATGCTAACATTGAAGGTAAAATTGTAAAATTGATAAAATGTGTTAAAATTGTGTAATATTGTACTGCATGAAACTTTTCTCATACAGCAATTTACATTCAAATAATTAAGTGCATAGATAAAAAATTATTGGAATTTTATTCCTGTATAAAATGTTAGGCTTTTGAATGAGAAAAAAAAAAATAGCATGATACAACAATATTCACAGTTTGAAACAGACAAGTATTCTTGTAACTTATTTCCAGTGTTATAATTAAAACTAGTACAATGTACATAATAAAAGTACAGACAGTAGTGGTCAGTTAGTTACATGTACTCATTGTCCATTTATGTCAATAAATACAGCATACAGAATAGACGATCCATCAATCGGTTTTTGAGTAGTCCTCCTTTAAACAGTTTTCAACAAACGCCCCTGAAGTTCCGGAGCAAGCAGCTAGAGGGCTCAAACTCATGTCACTTCATCCCCAGCACAAGAGCTCTCTACCATGTAAATTTTGTGACCCTATGTGTATAGATCACGAGATTTTAAAACCGGAAGTTCTTCTGCAGTACCATAGCAAGCTGCCAGGGGGCCAAAAATCTAATCACTTTGAGGTCTCATCAAGACACCCACCTACCAAATATCAAGACAATCCATCAAAGCCTTCTCGAGTTATCGTGTTTACAAATTATAATAATATTACAATTATGCAAATATGGATCTAATTTGCATAATTAACGAGGAAAATCAGCTGCATTCCATGATAGGACAATTCAAACTTGTGACATGTAGTTAAGAACAAGACAAACACAGGTAGATATTAATTGTGCAAATGAAGACCTAATTTGCATAATTAATGAGAAAATGTAATAATTCCATTGTGGTAACTGCTTGGAATTTCATACTTGGGCATTTGAAAGTTAAGTGAAGGTGAACATCATTAAACATAACTTATTCAAATAAGGACCTCATTTGCATAATTTATGACGAAATGCTATAATGGCATTCTTTCTTACGATAAGACTGTCTTTTGGTGTAGAATATGATCAACATATACAATTCCTGCAATTGAGGATCTTATTTGCACAATCAGGGGGATTAATCTATAATTTCTTAGTCATAAAGGCTAACATAATTTGGCGAAGGTATGAGATCGTGGAACTCTAGTTGTTTTGTATTTTCAAATAAATTGTTAAAAAAAACTAAAATAAGTTTTCTATAGATACATACTACAAGTGTTAGTATCCTGTCCCTTGTATAAGGGTACGGTCCAAAAAATGGTCAGTTATTCTAATAACCGACCACTTTTGTGGTTAGGGTCTGATAACCAATGGGAAATGGAGCCTTCTGATTGGTCAACTTTTGCTATATGATAATACGTTTGAAAGCTTAACAATGAAATGCAAATTATTGCGCCGGTGTTCAATCTAACTTAATTACTTAATTGAGAAAATGCAAATTTTGGTGATTCCTTACCTGGTGGTAAGACCACGCTGCTGCTCAGAGCAAGATGGCGTGTCACGGTGCTAGGACATGGAAGAACTCGGTGGATAAATTCGTCTTTTAAGACGAGCTACGTCCAGTTAAGGAGGTGAGTCGTACTCAACATTGACATTTATGTTCTCGTGACTATTTGGGCCGGACTCGTTACAATGAAATGAAGCTAAAACACAGAATTGCGTGAATTTATATTTGCGCGGGTGACGATTTCCTGTGTTTAAACATGCACTTAAGCTGCCGTTCGGGGACTTTTTTTCATCTCCACTTCGAACTAACATGACTATACATTAGATACGTTCGTTTTATTACCTTCGCCAAGAGGGTTAATAGTTTTGGAGGCGTTCATGTGTGTGCGTGTGTGTGTGTGTGTGTGTCAATAGCATGCCGCCGCGCCGCCTGCCTGCGAAGTTGGTGTGTTACGCCGAAGGGCGGTTATACCGGCTATACTGATATGGATTGTCTTGATATTGGTATGTCGGTAGGTCTTGATAAGACCTCGAAATGATTAGATGTTGGGCCCTCTGGTGGCTTGTTACGGTACTGCAGAAGTTTCGGTTTTGCTCTAGTCGCCAACCCAAAGCAGGTTTTAGAACTCAAACAAATGATGTGAACATTGTCATATATGATGCTCTGTTAGTAATTGTTATTCTTTAATATTTGGCCTGTGATCTTTCTGAATGTGTATTTCTTTTGCACCCTAGGCTTGAGATGCTGCTAATGTATAGCTGACATTGTGGGACCTGTCTCCTAAGTGTGCTGTGGGACCTGTCAGCTATCCTGTGTACCTGTCATATTCCAGGAGGATCCACCTGTTTCTGAAGGACCTGTCATCTATCTAAAAGAAAAGAGAACATCGGACTTGACAGTGAGTTGGCTTTTATTTATAAACTCTTTCATAAATGGGGTCTGCATGCCGCAATGCGTAATCAGCCGTTTTAGGTTTGCATAATGGAAGTCGGGTCAATCTATTCACCGTTAAATTGTGTGATAAAACGTCCAGCCAGTACAAGCGAACCGTAATACGTTGCTTGCAGAATTCTGCACCTTGCCATTTCAATTTGCATAATTTGAATTCGAACAACTCTAATCTAATATCAAACGTAATCGTGAAACCAACCTGAACAAATGTAAATCGTGGTCGCTGCCTTACAGAATTTAGTGCGCAAAGCGTGATCGGGACCTCCCATGCAGACCCTTAAAAATGACAATAAAAGATGTTGGGAAAGGGCATGTTTGCGATCCTCTGAATTTTTCATTCTAACGCCATTGTTGAAACTCGGCTAGGCCCACCCTGCTATTTATTGTCATTTCTGAAAGAGTTAATACCTAATATCTAGTTTAAGGTTGTGACTAATCTTTTGTTGCAAATATGATGGAGAACACAGTACATTTTCCTATTTAGGAAAGCACTTGTAATGATTGCCTGTAGTTTCATTCTGTATGGCGATGGGATATATTTTCAACAGCATTTGTGACCAAACTGTTTTCCCTGATATCCTAGCTCTTCATCATGATCCACATCCACCCTTTTGAAAACCATTTATAATAATGAAAATGTAAAGAAAAAAATACTAGTACATGGTGATACGAAACAATCAATAAAGCAATAATGTTAAACAATAATATAAAATCTTTCAAGATAAAAAAAAATGAAGACATTTCAATATAATCATGAATTCTAGTTGTTAATGTTTACTGGTGAAGATGTACATGCACAGTCAAGATTTAGCATTTGTTCGTATCTGACAAAATTATTTTTTAAATTTTTAGAACAATACTATGATTTGGAACATATGGCAGTACAAAATATAAACTTTACTTTCATGGATAGTCCAGAATATAAGATGTTTTAAACAACGACAAAGCTGTACATATTGTACTGTGATTTGCTCTTTTTAAACTCCTTTCCGAAAAAGAAATTATCCTTTGTGTGAAGAAATAACATTATACATGGTGAAGCAATCATTAATCTAAAAGAAAAAAAAATGAAACATTCAAAGCAAAGATGAAATACATTGTATAATGAAATTTTTAAGCACTCAAACACGGTCAAGCATGGTTAGAAAATTAGGTGAAACATTGAAAGAGACATTTTTGTGATGATCACGATCAAAGGAAAAAGAATTTATTTTTTGAATCACACTTCTAACCCGATTTCTAAAATGTACTATAAACATTGTGATTTTGCATACCTCGCTATATTTTTCCACTGCAACATGCTTGCAATTATGAATTTGTGAATAGCACACAGAAAGCATACAAATCTAGACTCTGATTTACTTAAAATTCTACACGTTTGCAGGGTTGGACAAGTCCAGTTGCCCACTTGCCAAGGGCAGTGCAAAGTAAAGTAAAGGTACTGTTTGGGCAAGTGAATGTGGCCCTATAGACTTGAACGATTGGGCAAGTAAATTCTTTGGATGCAAAGTATAGTCACTACGGTATTTGGAGCAAGTCAAACCACCTTATTTTGATAAATAAAGCATCCAACATTATAAACTCCAAAATAAGATAATTTTCTTGGTGGTAGTAAAAATGTATAGAAATAGGTGTATTTTGGGCAAGTTAAAAGTTGGTTCGGGCAAGTGGAAATTACCTAAGTACTTGATAGGGCAAGTGGATTTTTGAAAACTTATTCAACCCTGGTTTGCACAAATATTATAATTGTCTCTGAATGTCAAATAACAAATTGAATAACAAGCAGAATTATTCATATTAACAAAATATACAAAAACACAGTATAGGTGTTTCACAAACTTTTCTTTTTAAACAATGATAGAGTGGATTTCTGGGAAAGTACTTTGGTCACAGAATGATTGTTGGGAACATGTCCTATTTCTTTACAGAAAATAGAAAAGGCAATGTTGTGCTTTCTTTCTGTAGAGTAAAATGTACTACAGGTAAGCTGTGTGTGATGTTTCAAAGGGAGAAATCAGCAAAACAAGTCTACAAGTCTTTTTGCCAGGATTATAATTAGTCTAAAGTTCAGCTTTCTACTAAATGGAGTCAAGATAGTGTAGGAAGGAGGTTAAAAATCAATCTTGGTATAACTAAACTGTAGATAGAGTAACAGAGGTTGATAAAAGTCCAGTGCCCAGCAGGTATGGCCTTGACAGTGGGGCAGGATCTCTTTCCTGGTCCCGATGGTCTCTGCAAAAGATAAATATTTAAATAGGAGGATCACATATAGCCTCAGTTGACTTTCCAAGTTAAAAGAGGTGTGACTTTTTAGTGAATGACCACAAGTGACCATTCTGTGGCCTTCCTTGTCGCATGAATCTGAATTTTTTCTTTCGTCATGTCCAGATTGTGCTTCCATCTATTAATCTTAAGTTTTATAAATTGAAGTTGACAGTTTTACATCCGTCTTTTAAGTGAATGAACACTTAACGCTCTGCAAAATATTGGCCCTTGCACAACTGGGCTAAAAATCCTGACCATCACAGGTACAAATAGTGCCTCGTTAATTCCTGCGAAATTTCCATGCTGTACACGCTTTTGAAGTACCATTTTTGCCAAAATATCATGACGTATATATTGCCCAAAAATGGTACTTTAAAAGTGTGTAAAGCACAGAAAAATTGCAGGAATTCAGGAGACACCTATTTAAACTTTATCATCTGGGGTGGTG